AACTAGATCTGTTACAAAAGGACAACTAATATTGCCAACTTTTATAAACTGTAACGGCCAGAGGTCTTTCATGTTTATACTAAAGCATGGAATGGCATTCCTCAAAACATAAAGTCCATTTCAAAACTACAGCCCTTTAAGAAGAATCTTGTCTGCCATCTGCTGGACACTTTATGTTGTGCTCATATTTAGACGTCCTATTTTGCAAATGCTGCCTTTTTGAAATTTGGTATGCTTGTTTTTCTTTGTGTCTATGGTATATAATAATGTGATTGTGATGCTGTATTTCTGAGTGTTTTATGTGCTGCAGAACATGAACCTGCTGTAAAACAGAAATTATGCTGAGTCAGGCTTGATTTTTAATAATCTTTTCCTGTTAAATAAATAAATCAAATCAAATCAAATCAACAGACATTAGCCTACAAAACTGTATTTATGCTTCTTAAAGGAAATCAAACACGACATCAAATGTAGCATATTCTTAATAACTATATTAGATCCCACAATGGTTGCTTTGGCAATAAAATATTTTGATGGAAAAATAAGATGCTATATTAATGCACAGTTAAGAAAGATTGACAACGATAACCATAATTCATCAGTAGAGATGGGAGGAATAGCACTTTTAGGGAATCCAGATCTTGACGATCAGTTTGTTTAATAGAGCCTGTCAACCCAGACGTTAGATTTTGAACGAGTTACGCCATCAYGTAGAGATACATCGTCACGTACGTAATGATGTCGTCGCATCACGTGTAAGTGGAACCCACCTTCCTCTTTCCCCCCGAGCTGCTGTTCTCCACYGCTCTGCCTGTTTTCTGCGAAAAAACAAAGGTGTAGCGATTGTTTCTGTGGTTGAGGAGTGAAAATAACGATATTACAAGGAGTAAAAAAAGTGCTCTTTACTGTCCACCATTCTATTCCTATCATTTGTTTTAAGGTGCCATTCGTAAACRTCATAAGGCTACATCGAATTGGACATTGTGGATGTTGTCATAATAAAATACTTTAACAAAAACATGGAAATCGCTAATAAGATAATCTAACTCACTAATGAGGGTGAGACTCAAATACACTCATCGTCATGGTTGGCAAAACATGGAATGAAAAAACATAAAGAAACTCTTTGTGATTAGTTTATATTTTGTCTATATAATGGAACATTTAATCAAAGCTCCATCTTTTAAAGACATGTTGACTCTTGTGTAAGTAATTGAGGTACTTATGCAGGACATGCTTTGTATTTTAAAAATTAAAACAGATTTTTTAGCCGTGAGGTCCTTTTATTAGGGAGTTATCTGAAGAACCACTGTCTGATACAAAGGAATGACCTTTGATGCATGAAAGGTTTCAAAAAATTGAGATACATGGTTTTTGCCTAACATCAATACAATATTGTAACTTCATTAACTTTGCACCCTTTAAAATGTTCATTTTTTGCCATTTTTCTCAAAATAAAATTGCTCATTTAGAAAGATTTGCAAAAAAATTTTTTTTTGCCAGAAGGACATCTTGTTTTAATGCTTTAGGTGCTATAAGTACCCCTCAAGAATTCAACACAAAGTGGAAAAAGCAGAATCTAGAAGAAAAATGAGATGGAAAGTTTACATAATAACGTCACTATAAATTACTGCTGTCAAAAAGGTGTGAGGACAGTAAACTGCGTTGCCTTTGAAATRAGATATGGAGCAAACAGGCTCTCACTTTCTGCGTGTTACATTGTCAACAGTGGCAGGAGTTATGTTGAGAGACAAAACATGAAGAAGTGACTCATACACGGTTACTCCCTTTTGCCCGTTGTTGAATATCAATAAATGCGGAGAGGAATAAAAGCACAGAGGAATTTTGATAAAGTGAGCCACACCCTGCCAGGAAGTTTGAGCAGATTAACAGTGACAGCACCCTCCAATAACCCTTTTCCTTTCTGTATGAGGAAACTTTTACCATTAGTTGTAAATTCCTCACTTTGTAAAGGAAAGCAGTGTGTTTGTGTGAGAGCTGGTCATTTTATGCAGACGACAGACTGCTTTATCTGCACAAGCTGCCGGAGGCAAGATACCAACGATTACTTAAATGTGAAAAGCCCCGAGGTTGTTATCTCCATTGAGTCGTCATGAGAGGGACTGTTCAAAAACACAAAACTGCAAACCAAACAGAGGAATATTGAAATGATCACTGGCAATAACTTTACAAATACACACCCTTAACACCTGCACACACACACACACCTCTGCTAACGGGAAATATTCATCCCTGCCCTCTGGTAATGAAACTTCTGTCACTAAAATATATGGGGTTGCGATATGAAAACTCCAACACACACTTTGCTCTTTCACACTGACTATTATGGTCTTTTTTTTGTGGCAAAACTAAATACAAGCAGGAACCTGTTGGGTGAGCTGGCTTTCCATCATCACTCCTTTGTTAACTTATGATAGACCAGCTGAAACCAGTCTGGAAATTATTATTATCTTTTATTATTATTTCAAACTTTATTCATTCCATAAAAACAAAATTCCATGTACATTAAAAAAGAAAATACAAATAAAATGAAATGAAAAGAAAGGCGGCAGAGAGAAGAAAAAAATCTTGTAATATCTGCCCCTGTTTCCTCAAATATAAATTCTAACTATAATAATCTTCAGTTAAAACAAAACATCGAGGGAATGGGTCGGATCCTCTGTATGTGTCTGTGGGAATGTCCACCTGAAGAMAAGCATCTCTGAAGCAATAAACTGAACTCCAGTCTGTTCAGGAGCTGTGGTTATTACTGACTGTGACCTCCTTTAAGTAAAAAAAAACTGCCACCGGCCTAACTGAAGCATCATATTACTGCTGGCACTGGTGCCAGTGGCTGGCTCTCACTGATGCGTTCACCACATTAGTCAAATCAGACTCAGACATGCTGGATTCACTCACCTGCAGCTCCCGTTTCTGTTGATYCCTTTGTGAGTGTAATGAAGCAATATCACATTCCGCTTCCCGCCTGCTGATGTCACGTCCTGTTTTCCCGGTCAGGACAAGGGCCACGCCGTGAGCCGACTCCTGCAGAGCTTTGCGGCTGACGACGGCTTTCGTTTGGACGAAGAAAGCAGCTTCTCTGAGGGGGAGGAGGACGAGGAGGAAGAAGAAGAGGAGGAAGACGAGGAAGACGAGGTGAAGGAGAAGTCATCTCACCTTCCTCCCAACATGCCTTGCAGAATACCTGGTGAGCATAAACAAACGCAGGTTTGGAATTCTTCTTTTCCCACRTATACCTCCGCCTTCCCATCCTTTACTTTAAAACCCGACGGTTCAGCTCTCTCAGCTCGGATGTTGTTTTTGCTTTCTCCATCCGTCTTTACATCTCACTCTTCCTCCACAGCTCTGCCAAACTGTGTGCTGAGTAAAGAGATGTTGGTAGACGGGCTGAAGATCCTGATCTCCAAGGAGGATGAGCTGCTGTATGCTGCTTGTGTTCAAACTCTGGACCTGCCTGACATGTAGGACCCCACTCGCTCATATTTCCTCCACAGACACAAAAATCTATTGAGCAGTAAAAGGATTTCCACTACAGTTTATTTCAGAGGTTGTCTTTTTTACTGGAGAGCAAATGCGACACAAGAGACAATCAATTTAGGCAAATCAAACATTGTTAGTTAATTGAATAGATCTGAAGGACCTGGTTTTATTTAAAACAAACTTTGGGGGTGGRGGTGTTAGTAAAATAAATGTCACAAAACAAAAATCAGCCATTTCTCCACCGTCCCAGTTTGCAGGCAGCTGGTATCTCCAGCAGTCACCAGGCGAGAGTGAGGTACACCCTGGACAGGTCGCAAGTTCATCTGAGGGCCACGTAGTGCCAACTGAGACAACCATTCACTCACAGCTAGAGATAATCTAGGGTTTCCAATCAATCAAGCATCTATGTTTGTGGGAGAAAAACAAAACTTCCAGAGAAAACCCAATGCATGAACAGGTGGAACATGCGAACCTTCCCGTGAGGCAACAGCCCTACTAGACAACTTATGCCAACTTATGAAACATTTTTAGGTCTAAATTGCTAATAAAAGTTATATATTTGATCAATTTGTTCGAATTACATTATGTACACAACGAAAAGAAGCTTCCTGTTGATTTTTTTCAATTCCATCTTCAATTCAGATGTCTTTAAAATGTTCATAAGATGGCATAATTTGTCTGTGACAGGGCCTTAACAGCTGCAACACCGTACCTCCTCGTCAGGTTGTTTTATTTACACAGTTAAAAACTTTAGTATAGCACAAGTGAGGTGTAGGAAAAACACAACTCTTGCTTTCAATAATTGATAACAAATAGTACTTTTATTCTCTCAGATTCAGTGTTGTCATCGAAGGGGAACGAGGGAATCGCCCCAGGATCTACTCACTGGAGCAGCTACTACAAGAAGCTGTGAGTTAGACCCGACCCCCCCTTTTTTTTCTTACATTCTGTGCTTTTTGGTCGCATAATTTATTTATTTTTACTGAAAATTTTGTGACCTTTTTGTTCCAGGTGTTGGATGTCCGACCGCAGACCGAAGCCATCCTGACTGCAGGAACGCGTGTTTGTGCCTACTGGAGTGAGCGGTCTCGCTGCCTTTACCCCGGTTATGTCCAGCGTGGTGAGCTAAATGTTCACAACACCTTTACTTTGCACCGACACTGTTTATGTCCCAGAAATTCACRTCTCTTGTGTTGCACCTTTAGGAAGCCCAGGTGAGAAGGAAAAGGAGGACAGTGTGATGGTGGAGTTCGACGATGGAGACAGAGGAAGGATTTCTCTTGTAAACATCAGACTTTTGCCTCCTGGATACCAAATTCGCTGTGAGTAAAGCTTTGTGACGATAAGGAGGAGATAAACTGCCTGGCCAAAAAAAAAAAAAAGTTGCCACAAAATAAAAGGTCACACATTGTAATATTTTTTGGACCGTCTTTAGTTTTGATTACGGCACACATTCACTGTGGCACTGTTTTGATAAACTTCCGCATTGTCACAAGGTTTATTTCCTTCCAACGTTGCATACATTTCTCACAATATAAGTAATTATATTTTTCTAACGACATGACAGAAAGTAGCATAAGAAGATAACACTCTACTTGTGTTACATACAAACATACAAACATAAAACAGTGTTTTATGTTTTGCTGATCAAATTGGAGAGAAACGACAACAAGATGTAACTTTTTATATTTTATTTTAAAGCAATGATTCCAGTTGACAAATCATGCCATGTTATACGTGACTTTGAGCCGCCAACAAGGATGGCTTGTTTTTCTTTTGAGGAAACAAAGAAATACTTAAAACATTAACATCAGACAACTGTTTTATGTTAGGTGCTGAACCTTCTCCAGCATTGCTGATCTCTCCTGGTCGGCGAGGGCGGCGAGGCTCAACTGTGGAGAAGAAAGAAACACCTACAGAAAAAACAGCCAATGAGGAGGCAGGAGAGAAGCCCCAGGAAAAAAGGCCAGGTACTGAGAGGGAATCGATTGTAGCAAAAGTAGCTGAAAATGAAAGGAATAACTGTGAAAGAATGAMGTTTGTCTTTAAATGCTGTTGATCATTTACAACATTAAGACAAAAGAAGCACTGCTACGGACCAGCAAATAATTTTTATACAGTATTTACCCGTCTTCTCTGTAAATGTGTTTCCATCTCCTCTTTTGCACATTAACTCTTTTTCGGAAAATCCAAAAATCACCTCAAGCGAGCATATAAACACTTCTGCGAAATTGAGGAAGTTTTTCCTAATTTTTCCATTTCCATCCACCTTTTCTAATGTGAAACTACAAAATGCACATAAAATCAATGGAAACTCGGCTAGTGTCACGTTTGAATCAACAGTGATATACAAACTATCAGCTGACAGGTGTAAAAGGAATGTAAAACTAGTTAATAATGTTTATTGTGGTTTTCTCAATATCAAACTATGTATGGTGGGACTAGATAACTAGTTTTTTTATATAAATTAGCCAAACTAGCTACATTAATAAAAAATACAGCCTGCAGTTAGTTAAAGTTATGCAAAAGTAGATAGCTAGCATGTCTTTATTTATGTACAGGCAGCCCCCGTTATTAAAAAGTTATTTAACTTAAATGATCCAATTACGGCAGTGTTACACTTTTGGTTTGATAAAAAAAAATGACAGACCGTTTTTCTGTTTTTGGAGTATAAAATGCAAGTAAATTAACCATTTTTCATTTTTTAATATATATTTTTAAAACAAAAATCAAGTGACCAAATAGTACATGGACCCATTTGATACACATACATTAATTATTTGTTTGCATACAAAAGTTCTACTATAATCCACTGTTGATCTGCTTGGTGCAAGCGTTCTGAGAAAAAACAGTTGGTACAAAGATGTTTGAGGTGATGTAATGCATAGCTTCAAAGGGACTAGTTAGCCTCGTCACATAAAAAAAATCGGATTTTTTAAATGTGTTTCAAGGAACCAGAGAATCAACCCTTGTTTAGAACAAAAAGTGTTTTGGTGGAAAAACAGCCATGACGTGATCTGACCAAACATTGTTGACAGAACATCTTCAGGAGCTCATCTGGAAAGTTTTTAGTCTGTAGGAAAGATTAGTTACATACCAACCAGTACTGCTTTACCTCCAACATACTTTTGTGCATTTGACTTAAGGTCCCCAGGCTTCATCTAGAACCAGATCTAATTTACGGTCTAAACTGTCAGCAAGTTATCAGAAGCCTTCAAGCCGCAGGTGAACACTGAGCAGGTATATAATCTGAAAGTCTCGTAAATTAAGAAGCTTTGTTTGCCGCCTTTTATTTACCCTCCATAAAAAAAACACATTAATCATGGTTTTATGGCATCCCATAAGCGTGCTTTGTGAAGTTAGGCAACATACGTTTAAGTCATCCTTAAGTCAAAGTGACAATAAACCTGGAGGGGGAGACAGGTTTAACAGGATTGTTGTTTTCTGAGTTACATCGAAACTAAGCKAAGATCAAAGAGGTAAAGATTAATTATGAAACTAGGAACTTGTTTGAAACCTAATCAGTTTGCACTTTAAACCTTTCATTTAACATGGATACTTCTAATTATAACTTTTTGTCATTGTTTTTTTGTTTTTTTTTACAGTTGGCAGGCCGAAGAAAATCTACTCCATGCCAAAGACAGCAAGCACGCCCACTTCTGTAACAGACACTGCAACAAAAGGCAACAGCTCTTTGATGACTTGGTCTGTGCCAAGGAAGAGACCCCCAGTTGACTTTTTCCTCTTCAACGGGACATCTCGGAAGGCCCAAAAGAAAATTAGAGAGCGAGACTTTGGGTTATTTCATCGGCCTGCTTTACATTCTCTAGCACCATCAACCCCTATTAAAAGCATTTTTGGCACTCCTTTTGCGGTTGACTCATTCAGTAGCATTGCTAATGGCTACTCCACCTTTGGACATGGTGGAACCTCTGGAACCGGGAGGCCGGTCACTAGCATGGCTTCCATGGGGCTCCAGGACCTGTCATGCTCCTCGTCTGTCACCATGGCCATGGCAGCTGGGAGCCGTAAGCCTGTGAGCGAGCGGGACAGGAAGCACTTCTTAGTGAAGCTTGACCATGAAGGAGTGACTTCTCCCAAAACGAAGAATGGCAAAGCTTTACTTCGACTTGGAGRAGCTGGAGGGAGAGGAGTAAAAAATCATTCTCCTGCAGGGGCACCRCTACGATACGTCAGCCCTTCACTGCTCGTCAAAGCTGGCACAAAGGAAGGAGGAGACAGGGAGTGTGCTCAGCCTGACACTCTTCTAAAGGGTGTTCCATCCTTGAGAAAGGAGGCCATTCCTGCTGGTCTTGGAGTAAAAGGTGGAGACTATAATCTGGACTACCCCAGTGACTGCCCTAGTTCCTACTCCGAACTGGATGAGGATGATGAGGATGATGGTCAAGGAGCTGACGCCCGAAGAAGGAGAGCAGCTGTACCATCCCATCGTGGCGGACGATTTCTGTCCCGTCCCTCCATCTGCTTTTCCTCCTCTTCCTCCTCCTCTTCCTCCTCCGGCTCCATTTCGTCCTCGTCCCTCTGTTCCTCTGATAACGACTCTTCTTACTCCTCGGATGAAGAGTCTTCCTCTGTGCTGCTGCGACGAGCACTTCTCCAGCAGGACAAACAGAAAAACAAGTCCAGTATGAGCGCTGACCTTCGAAGCCCTGACCCCACTACCTCTACTTCAGTTCCAGCTAATGGGTATGTGACCAAAGCTGGCGTAGCCATTGGAGGGTCAAAGGTGAGGACAGACAGAGCAGAAAACAGGAAGGAATACATCTGTAAAGGGTCTCTGGTGGCTAACAGCAGCACAGCTAAGACGCAGCTGAAAAGGAAAGAAAGCGTACCTTACAATCACCATCAAAGCCAAAGCTGTCCTGTGAGCCAGCAGCTGAAACCTGCCTCCAAGGATCCGGCAGCGACGAAAAAACAGAGGATGTCTTCACCTGAACCCCTTCCCAAAGCGACCTCCTTGCTGCCTGGACGTCACCTCTGGAAATGGTCTGGCAATCCCACACAGGTAGGACATTTTGGCTCGCACTTTTCCATTTTCTGTATATAAAACTTTGAGACGATTATTGGACATTTTTTTAAATGGTTTATTTTTTTATTTCAGGGTTCCTACAGATCCTTAAAAAGTCTTAAAAGGCATTGAATTCAMCAATCCAAAAATAAGGCCTTAATTAACTTTAAAATGTCTTAAATCAGGGGTTCTTAACCTTTTTGACCTCGGGGCCCAATTTGTTGAACATAAAGTGACACGAGGCCCAGTCAGACATTACCAATGTAAGGATCAAAATGATAATTATTCTAAATCTTGGTTTAATTTTTATTGTAATTACATCATAACTAAAGTAAATACACTTACAGTTTAAAAGTAAAACTTCTGTCAAATAATCACAAGACGTGATTATGACAAACAATTATTTTTATTTTGTAAACTGCCCATAACAGTTATTTGAACAAATACAAGGTCAGCCAACAGACCACTCAGGCTTATCAACACAAATTTTATATGTATATACGTATATTAACATAAACAATAATAAAAATAGACAGTTCAATAAATAAAACTGTAGGCATAAGATAAATAAAAATGTTTAAATGGTTCCTATACAAAAAAAACTGTAAAACTAAATTTGATAAAGTACAAAGCCTTTTAAACTTTGGCATGGTAGAAACAGAAGCTGCTCTTCATATTAGTGACAAACATTAACAGTAACAACAGCTTTTTGACAAGTTTAAACTTTCGTTATTTAAAAAAATAAACTACAAAAAATAATTTGATAAAGTGCAAATTAAAATATGGCAGTATTTGCAACTGTATTTGATAATGTTTTGAACTTTTAAAATATTGCATGACAGAATCAGAAGCTGTCCTTCATGTTTGGCTTTTTTTTTTATGGGTTACCTTCATTTTTGCATTCTATTTTTCATTTAAAATAAGTTTCCATGGTCGGCAGATATCCAAGGTTTTTCTTCTACATATTAAAAAAGTTGTTAAACATCTGAGTGGCGCACTACCGCTAATAGTGGTGAGAAAGTGTATTGCACCTTATTCAAAATCAATGCGGTCCCACGGCCCTCTGCGGCCCAAAGTTAAAAACTGTTGTTCTTTTGAGGCCCTCAAGGTGGCACGGTCCATAGGTTAAGAATCTCTGTCTTAAATCAATCTGTCAGAAGTCTTAAAAATGTTAACACATTGTAAATAGGATGATTGTAATTTGTCTCAAATATTAAAATCATTGTTAACATTTTTTTAAACTTTCACATCTTTGACATCACTTCCTATTGCTTCACATGCAAATATCTCAACAACCGTCCGTCAGAGCATCGTGAAATTTGTTTCATAATATGTTAATAATGTTGTATTTCCAAAAATGTATTCAAATTTCTTACAAAAAATTTGATGTCACGGGCACTTTAAGGTTTCATCCACAGCAAATTAGGGTTGAGACCCCACTGTGGGTCCTAAAACTCCAAACTTTGGGTAGTTAGAGAACTTCCAGGAATTAACTTAAGTTTAAAACTGACTGCTAAGAATGTTTTTGCTATATTTGACAAAAAAAAAAGCAGTTAGATATGGTTAAAAACAATTGGTTTATTAGGAATATTTGAGTACTTCAACCAAAAATACTTGGATTCATGAGTTTCTGCCAGTTTTATTTTTTTAGTCCTTTGTGTTTAGTATAAAATTGGTCTTAAATTTAATTTCATTTGGCATTAAAAAGTCTTTAAAAGTCTTAAATTTAACTTGCCTTAAACTGTAGGAACCCTGTATTTATTGAGTTTGTTTCGCAATGTTCTAACTTCATAACATACATAACATCCTATATAATGTACACACCCAAGTCACTCTCTAGGTCCTGAAGTTATTTCAAATGTTAAATCGTAAATCTCAGGCAAGAAAACAAAACTTTACGCAACTGTCAGCACTTTTATTGGTAATTTATTCCTGCCATTTTTAATTCACAAATGGCGGCTCACAACAAAATTGACATCACAGCAGCAGTACATCTTTAGCTAGTCAGTCATGCAAATCCTAGTTTTTAAAAAAGTTTATCTGGTTCAGAGACATTGTCAAACATAGCTGATAAATTAGAAAGTAGCTTTGTCACAAATAAATCACAAACAAATCAAGCATGACCTTTCAACAAACAAGCAGCTAAGCGCATCAAAAAGCAATGTTTTGAATGAGAAAAGTCTTGGATTAAAACATTATAGGAAGTGAAAAAAATGCATACTGGATGAATTGACTAAATGTTTAAATGTTTTTTCTTGGCAGAGGAGAGGTCTTAAGGGTAAAGCCCGTAAACTTTTCTACAAGGCCATCGTGCGGGGCAAGGAGATGGTGCGTGTTGGCGACTGTGCTGTGTTTCTGTCACCTGGGCGACCCCAGCTGCCCTATGTGGGCAGAGTGGAGAGCCTCTGGGAGTCGTGGAGCTCCAGCATGGTGGTCAGGGTCAAATGGTTTTACCATCCGGAGGAGACTCGTTTAGGGAAGCGACACCACGATGGCAAGGTATGAGCAAGAAGTGTTGTTAAGTCAGTCTAGGATGCTGTAAGGCCCTTAAGGGTCTAAAAAATCTGCTCACAAATTGATGTATTTTATGAAATGTTGACATTCACTATTAAAAACAGTATTCCATATCCGCCTTTTGTTTTCAGAGAAACTATAATGCAGTSTTCTGGTATTTGGTCACAAACTTCTTTCTGTCCTCTCTCCCATAGAATGCCTTGTACCAGTCGAGCCATGAGGATGAAAATGACGTACAGACCATCTCCCATCGCTGTCAGGTGGTCAACAAGGCTGAGTACGACCACCTGACCCACGATCGCAATCCAGGTACCACTTCCAACGACCTGTTCTACTTGGCCGGAACCTACGAACCAACGACAGGCCAGCTGATCAGCGCTGACGGCATGGTCATCATGTCTTAGCACCACCGACTCGAGAGTAATCCAAATACTGACCCGATCACTGGAGTTCTAAGATGGTCCTTCAATGCACAGCTGTGGACAGAGGCAAATCGAAAGCAAGCAATTTTGACTTGATCGATTTGCCCCTTGCAGAAGAAGGATCCTAGCCCCTCGGATAACGCCTTGCAATACTGGCACTTATAGGAGCCCTGTTTGTTCTGAGGCAAACGCTGGCCCGCGCCAGATTCATCCTTGGAAGCAGGGGTGGGGGGAACTGAGGCTTCTTGTCACATGGAGAGTTTTCAGCCTGCCTCACGATTGCCTCACCAAGAACCTGAGCACTTTGGAGTTTAACAGTTTGAATACATTTTGAAGGGAGGGCAACACACTTAGCTTTCTGAAAAAGACATGGAGAGCAGGATAGACTAAATAGTAAGGAGTGACTTATTGTAAACCACACTGGTTTGGATGGATGTAATGGTCTTATGCTGGTAGTCTGACTGAGATTGAGTGCTCCCCGATAGGACCAATAAGCACTGTAGTTTGGACTTAAATGCGTAGATGCGTGTTTGCAGAGTGAATGCGATGAACCTGTTTGATGAGCTCTAAGTAAATAGTGCTTTAACACGTGTGTTTGGGCAGACCGTGTGCATGTGTGTGGCCATCCACTTAAGACATCGACGTCACGATACAGCATGGGTATATTCCTGACACTCTTCTATTAACCAGTCCAGTACTTTACGTGTAGTTTTTAGCCATTGCGACAGAAATGCAGAACAAAGTTTTTTTTTTTCTCCTTGTAAGCCATACACATCAATACCTCTCTCTCTCGTACCCTCCTGTCTGGGTGCGAAGACACATGTACAGGCTGTGTTTGTGTGTGCGCGCGTGTGTGGGTGAGTGTGTGTGTGTGTGTGTGTGTGCTTTGTACAACATTTAGTGTAGAATAACACATTGTAAATAATATATATATATCTATTTGTTTTTATTTTTTGTTTTACTTTTTTTTTGCAGAGATTATTTTATTTCGATTTTTTTAGGACAGGTGGGAGGGTTGGGGTTCTGGCAGAGGTAGATTATGTTTTCTTCTCTAATGCACTGAATAGAATTTAAAGTTTGGTCAAACTCTGCGACTGATGTGAGGACTTTTTGGTTGTRAACGTTGGTCTAGGCAAAAAAAAGTAAATATGTAGAAATTGTTTKGGACATGTTTTTATATGGAAATCCGAAAAATAACTATATGAGTCTAGTCCTGTATTTTTTATTGTATATATATTATTTTGTTTTATTGTTTGTTTGTTTTGGATATACTGGAATGCTGGAAAAAGCAAACTGAGTTCCTGCTTCATCCTGAAAGAATCTAACTCGTTTAGGGGGAAGAATAAAGCTTTTATTTATGTTTTTGTCCGTATTCCTGTAGAAAATGTAGATATTTATCTGGCAACATAAAGAAACATACCAAAGCACCTGCTAGTTTACGCTGAACCACATTAGATGGGGGGAAAATTTTTTAAAAATAATTATGAAAGATGTTCAATCAATTCTGAATCCGGGACCCCTGCAATCACAGAGGTATTTGGTAGCGCTCCTCTTGTCCACTCATGTTTATCCAGTGTTGTTATGACGGCCTCCGAGAAACCTTGCAGCAACATTGTCGACACGCTGCCCAGCTGATGCACTTGTGGTTTCTATGGCAACCAGAACAGCATCATGTGACTGTGAAGGACAATCAGAGCCAATCAATGGGACAATGCTGAGAGACAAAAAAAAAAAAAAAACACGATAAAAGGATCAAATCACAACTAACGCTTCTTGTCACTTTTATTCATGCTTTGCCAAAAAAAATAATGTTTGAATGTTTTTATGTTTATCATCATCTTCTTGTTTATGCAAACCAAGGATGGCTGTTTGTTGTCAGTATATAGGATGTACAGGAGAAAGAACATGAATGCCTTTTTTAAAGCTTTTTTGTAGGACTTTGACTGACTTAACAGCATTGTGGCTGTTACACTGCAAAGCAAAAGCTTTAAATGGAATCTAATGTGATACTCCATTTTGAAATATTACTTTGTGGGTCTTTAAAAGATTTTTTTTTTAAAAAAAGCTGTATTTTCTTTAAGAAACACTGGATTCAGTTTTGAACATCAACATTTCAACAGGGGCAACATCATTGTGTGTTTTTTTTACGACCCACTGGAACCTGCTTTGTATGGTTAAAATAGCCTACTAAAAATATATTATGTAATTTCAGTCATTCTTTGGAAATATGACTTAAATATTTCCTCGTGTACAAAAAGAAAAAAATATTTATCTTAATTTTATTGCCTTTTGTGTTTCATTAAAAAAGATTCTTAAAAAAAAGCATGTCGATTGCCTTTCTTTCTCGTTGGGCGTGAGCGCTCTGAATGCTGCCTTGTGTGCATCAGTGCCGATCATTTGTCAGATGTGAGAATATGGAGCGCAGAAAAAAGCAGGAATGAAGAGGTGGGGGGTGGGACACACGAGACAAGGAAGCAATCTGAAACTGTAGCTCTTGTCTGACAGAAGGGCGAGAACCGGGAGGAAAAGGGAAACTGTATCTTGTGGTGTTTCATGAGAGGAGAYGGGGCTGGATGAAGTCTCCTCGGGCTCTTCACATGGGTCAGGTTTTCAGAATAATAAAAACGGAACAGGACCATTAAGAGAACAAAGCCGGGGGTTTCTGGTTTCGCCCTGTGAAGATTTCAAATCCTCACTCGCTGCATTCACACACTTACTGAATGCGTGCACGTACAGTATTTAAAGATCAAATGAAAGAAATTGAAAAAAAGGTACACAAGTTTAAAAAATGAAAAAAATGCGTCACCCGTTTTGCTCAGAGGATGTGTCAKGCTGATCAAATTTTAACCCTTTGACTGTAAAAATGCTGACACTACTCTTGATTTGTTCAGGAGAGTTAGCTGTAGCACTCGTGCACAGCGTTTTTATTGTGTTTTTCTAGACTTCCTGAGACACATTCACACCTTCTTATCATGCAATAACTTGCAACTGTCTAGCCTACACAGAGCGATCACCTTTGACCTCCAACCACCAGGTTGCTTCGTGGCACGGCTCAAAGGAAGCGTAAGTGCGGCGTCGCCTAGAACGCTGGTCGTAAACTTGATATTTTTTTATTGCAGCCGCTCCTTCACAAGTTTTTCTTTTTCCTTCTTATCCGGTGTCATTTTTGTTTTCCTYGTCGTTGCACGAAAACCTGACTTGCCTCATTTTTTCTGTGCAACTTTACTAATGGTCCTTGGCCACAGGTTCAAATAAAGCCCACACTCACTCAGTCATTAAACCACAACCTCTTTGTTCACTGCTATGTGCTGTGCCTTTTGTCTTCTGCCTTTAGCTGTTTTGGCAGTTTAGCAAAGATATGACAGAGTACTGCTGACACACACACACACACACACACACACACACACACACACACACACACACACACACACACACACACACACA